TCATCATCATCATCATCATCATCATCATCATCATCATCATCACCATCATCATCATCATTATCATTATCATATACTTATAATCAGCCATACTGATTGTGTTCTCTTACCGTGCATGCGCAGTACGAGGCACCCGATAAACATATGCATTGTGGGTATCTACATAAAAGAGGCCATCTATTCAAGCAGTGGAAGTCCAGATGGTTTGTACTCGATGCTCAGAGAAACCAGGTAACGTAATACAATGAACGTGACTTAGTAGCGTGACTTACTAAGTAGCTTGACCACCTCTTTCTTTGTAGTTGCGTTACTACGAGAACAAAGAAGATTCACACTGTGCAGGTTACATTGACCTTGGTGAGATGACAAGTGTATCTCAGGGGGCGTACAACCCAGGAGCACCTAAAGGAGCCGATAAGAACGCGTTCTTTGATGTGAGTACACTATAAATCCGTGAAAACAGAGTGGTTTCCGTTTCCATGAAAAGAAAGTGGGTCTCTAGTTTTTATGAGCGTGCAATGATAGAAACCTGTGAATAATTGTCTGTAGGTGTGAAAGAAGGTTTCTATCATTGCATACTCAACGGTTGTCTCGCTTCGATGCAAAGGCACGGCTACCTTTCAAGATGGCGCAGGTAACCGTGAAGGAGACTATTTGTATTCTTGACTGCTTCTCCTGTCGTTATGTCAAACGACACTATTTGAATGATCATCTTTGTGTTTTAGCTTCGTACAACAAAGCGTCTGTACAACCTACTGGCCGAAGACAAAGAATCATCTCTGAAATGGATCGAAAAATTGCAGGGTATGAATGTTTAAAGGTGGGATCAACGGATCGATAATAATTCGTCAAGTAATCGTTCACTCTTCGATTTCCCGAAGAATCAACTCGAAAGACGGCATTCTAAATCAATACAATTTCGTGCCAACGACGGCTCAAGCGCGCCTTCTCGGAAAATATTCGTCGACCATCGTTGACTTATCGGGAAGCACTCGTTGACTTATCGGAAATCACGAAGGTCTTTTAGTAATGTATTAAACTTTCTCTTGATTAAAGAGAATGCGAAATATCGTACAGTCGAATAACGTACAAAGAAAAACACATCGGCGACACACCATCAACAATTGCAAATAAGAAGAAAGTTACCATAGCAACTTTTGGTGGTCTGAGTTTTAGTTGCCAAGGTGATAAGTAATGGCGATCTGAACGCTAAAGATTGTGGYCATTTTTTGGAGATTAATTCTCAGCTGCAGCAAGTCACGTGATAATAATGGATTTTTATTCTGGTTACCCTGTGGCATTTCAGGGTAAGAGCGTGGCATCGTTTCCATTGGTACGTTTACGTTACGTTACGTTACGTTAACGTATCATTTTTATTGTTCTCTTCATCGAAAATCAACACCTAACAAAGACGAAATAGCTTTGCCAAGACGTCATTGGACAGAACTTTTTAGATATTTTAGAATTTCATAATTTTTAATATATTCTTTTCTGATTGCGCCAAGTCTTCATATTTCATCTACGGGCTCCCTGTGTTACCAAGGCCAGTTCGTATTCACACAGGCATACCATAATATTTTTCACCAATCTGGCAATGCATCATGGTAAATAGAATAATTGATAATAATTATTGATCAATAAATGTTTAATTTCAAGGATGAATGATGACGATGGATGAAAGATAAAGGAGTTGTACATAAAGATTTATTTTTTAGTTTTCGTTTTTAAAATTCAATAAATTGAACTGAATGATAATTAGAACTGTGTCTTGAATAAGTAAACTCCAGGTGCGATCACCATAGCCCCCACTCCTCCCTCCCTAAGACCAATATCTCGAATCCACCCCTCATGACGTAATAATTAAGTATATTAAGAAGGTTTTGGCGTCTTTATTTCTATCTTTCACTGATGTACAGACAACGAGAAGATAAACTACACAAGGATGAACGAGTCAAACATATCACTCGCCAACGTCTCTAACATCAGTACGGTTAACACCTACTGCAAGTACGATGAACCTGACACCGATGCTGAGAAAATTGCTAAACGCACAACCTTCGTACTGCTCATTGTACTGGGGATTTCTCTCAACATCTTCGTAATCATACTCGCGGCTAAATTCACAGTACGCAAGAACCTGCATCATTTGATCATCAACATGGCCGTCTCAGATGCTATAGTTCTCTTCATAGCGTTGTTATCTGTTCTACTCCGTCTTGACAATAGTACATTGCATAGGATAATCTATCAGACTCTGTCATTTCTTGGGAGGATCTCGTTCAAGGTGTCATTAATAACTTTATTAATAATCAGCATTGAACGATTCAGAGCAACAAGACAAACTTTACAAAGATCGAGACACTGTACACTAAAACAACGTGTTTTTCTTGTTGGTATCTCTTGGTTGATTCCARTCCCAGTCGATCTTTGCGGTATTTTCATACCAGTCAGCACTGGAATTGATATTATATCAACTCTGGAATTTCTAATAATTCTTCTATGTTCTGTAGCGATAATTGCTCTAAGTATTCTAACTACGAGACGACTATCCAAACCTCGARCYATCCAAGCCAMTTTAAGCGAAGAACAGCAGAACATACGAAAACGAAGAGCTAAAGCAGCCRTAMGGATGGTTATCGTATCTGCATTGTTGTATCCTATTTGCTGGCTTCCCCCATTCGTCTATTTCTCGTTTATCAAAATGTTTTTGGGAATYTCTTTTAATTGTATTGACGAGAGGTCGTTGGATTTTATCTTAAYTGTGTTCCTTCCCGCCGCCAACTCCTGTCTCAGCCCTTGCATATATATCATATTTCTGCCTGACTTTAGACAAGCGGCAAARAAAGTACTGTGTCGCACAAATACTCTGAACCAGGTCGCAAACAGAAGCAATTYCATAGAACTACAACCCATGCCAAACCCGATTSCACATAACAGGGGAAGACGAAATCCCGCTTACGTACGGTGATGAAGAAATCTAGAAATCCATTTTCGAATTGTAAACGAAAAAACGATGTTTTATTTTAACAGCAGATCCTATTGCTCAAAGACAGTACCAACACTATAGAAAGCGCGAAAAAATGTTGGAAGTACAAAAGCGCTGAAATTTGCATTTTCCCCGTGTTGGGGTAAACTCTGTTTTCCAAAAGGAACATTGATGGTTTATTCAGATGAAACACGTAAATTTGTTTTAGTGAAATGCTTCGTAAAACGACAGGATTAAATAATAATCCCAGTACATATAAGTAAGAGTTACATACCGAGAACGGAGGCAATTAGCCTATACATCCCGAGGGCCGTAGGCTTATTTCATACCAAGCACTKCATTAATATTTTCATTTTTAAATAGGCAAAGAAGCCGTTTTCATATGAATTAAAAACCAAAACCTCGATTAGAAAGGTTACGAAATTTACAGTATTGACAATTCCCAACGGGAATAATTTGTATAACCAATTTTCTCGTTAGTCCCATGAGACCAATGCTAGCAATATACCTTTTGTAACAAGTAACTGGACAATGTTAATGAAATAATATACATTTGATAGTTTTAGAAATATTRCTTAGCCTAATAATAATGAAGGTGTTGTCGAGCTTTTCCATTATACTGAACAACCTCTCACAATGCAATGTATTGCTCTTAAATTAAAACTTTTGAAAATTGTCTGGATATAATAAAAATAAAAATAAAAAACTTCTTTGAAAGACTTTTTAATACTGAATTTGTGTATAAAATAGCATTGTTTTCTTTGTTTTCTTTTTCCCTCRCCCTTTTTCTGTTTCTTGTTCACGTTATAGCCTTTTGTTTATTTTCAGCCTTATTTCWTTCTTTGTATTTTTTTTTTATTCCTTTGATCATTTACTCAAAACCTAAAAACATTCAGTTTCGGTCAAAAGCGTTCTMAGCTCTTTCTATTTTTCATCATTTTGTAGTCAACAGAATGATTAGCATGCAAAAGAAYTATGTTAATTCCACAAACGTTTTGGTTGTCCATGGAATAGTGAACTAGTGCCTTRAAGTCGTCACAGACCGATAATTTGATTACGAATAAGTCACGAATACAGCGATCAGGTGGTCATTAATTTCAAGTGAATTCAAAGACAGCAAACATATAACAAGTACTGTAAGTTGTCAACGTCTTGAGAAAGAAAGTCCTTGAAGTTTTCGTTTTGGTGTAGATACATCCTCGGGAACCAAGTAATCTTATCTGTCGTTCGTTCTTCACCCTAGAAAAAATACCCCTGGTCAYGAAGTCTGTTAGACCTTGTTYTCAATTYGAAATTCAAAATGGCRGCCWGTAAATTTCTGATTGGTCGAGTGATTCACTCAAACATTCTGATTGGTTGATTGATTTAACGGCCGCCATTTTGAATTTCGAATCGAAAACAAGGTCTAACAGACTATTTTGCTGKGAATKAGGAATGAACGACAGAAGAYTACCCCCTGGGTTCCCGAGGATGGYGTAGACAACGMTAATAGTTTTATAAGTGTGTGCTAAACTCATGAAACATATTGTAGTATAAGMAGAGTGCAATAAATCGTATTCATGGGTAAGAATTATGCCCTCGACTTGATAAAAACTTAACTTGATAAAAACTGAATGTAAGATAAGCCTTAATAATTAAACAGCTAAAAAGTGACAGTTTGATGTACTACAAAAAAAGCAATGGACTTATTAAGATCAATAAAGGTGTTAATGATAATAAAGCAAACGCAGGAAAACCATGAAATAAAATCAAACTAAATACTAACAAATAGCGGCTATTTAGAGACAAATTGTCAGTACCAATGAACCAGAACGCAATAAAGATAAATTGAAAATGGTCCCATGTGGATTCAYCTTCATTGTGTTCTGGCTTATTGATGCTGACAAATTGTCTCTAAATAGCCGCCATTTGTTAGTATTTAATTTGATTTTATTTCATGGTTTTCCTGCGTTTGGTCTAATAATAAACTTTATTTATGTGTCATTAGTTTCTAGCTTACAATAATAAGACTAATTGGGGACACCTATCTAAACTGTCTACATGATTATATAACTATTCCCTCTCTATACCCATACAGTGTATTTATACATATTATCAATTATTTAAGAAATATAGAACGGCGCGCGTGTCTCTGTCCTCTGATATAAACACGGTGGGAGTTCGAAAAACACGAGAGAAGCAAGCTTAGGAACACGAGCGTAGCGAGTTCGAAAAACACGAGAGAAGCAAGCTTAGGAACACGAGCGTAGCGAGTGTTTCTCTTGCTTCTCGAGTGAAAATAAAATTTTGCCGCTAAGCCGTGTCTCTGTCCTCTGATATAAACACGGTCGTCAGCCAATCAGAGCGCGCGTTATATATCAAAAATTTTATAATAATTTATACAAATGAATGTTTATTTTAACTTGAGCAAAAATTACAATTTTTATCCTAATTTCTCTCTCAAGGGTTTTTGGCATCATTCTTTTTTTTATTTTTTGTTTTTTATTTTTTGGAATGCCGAAAAGTACAGTTTCTGTTTCAAGGTTAAAAACCTTTTCTTTGACAAAATAAAACACAGTTGTCGATGATTACATTTATTTTTCAACATCGGCGCAGAATTCGTCAAGTCAACGGCTACATGCCTGTAATGAATATTCAAGCTAGCACTCCATCACTGAAKTTATTAGTCAAGTAGATATTACAAAATAACCCTGACAGCCGTCTTTGAAATCCTGATTCAATTTAACAGTTCGAATAATTAAACCCCTTTAATTTCAACTTGTTTAGGTTCGTTTGCGAATTGTTTTTAAAGAAAAATGATAATATAATCATAATATTTGAGAGAGATTAAAGGTTTGCGAGCCGTTTCATAGACGCTCTCTTACTTGAAATAGCTGGGTCCCCTAATTTATCCTAGAATTCCTATACTTTTGTACTAATGCGCCTTGGTTTTCATCGATKTGTCGCAAACAATCACACGTACGCACACAAGAACGGCTTAAGCATGCAAAGAAGAAGTAGCTTTAATTTGGTACATGTAATAATTAGAGTGTAATAGATCGTAATGCTCGCGTAGAGACAATAAAAAACAAAAGAGCCAAAGTRTAATAGCGATAAATACGCTAAAGTGTGTTTCACGGGTTTATGAAAACCACTCTAAAAAAAAAGAGCCAAAGTGTAATAGCGATAAATACGCTAAAGTGTGTTTCACGGGTTTMTGAAAACCACTCTATCAAAGTTTGAGTGGATTTAGAGTTCTATGAAYCTTTCTTTCACGCCCATGCACTTTGTAACGTCACGTCACGCCTCGATATATCGATCAACCATGTTTACTAAATATACGGGTGGCCGTATTCATGAATGAACTGGGCTGACTGAGCTACCTAAAGCCACAGATAAACACAACTTACATTTATAGATAAGAAACATCTTTATTTCAATAAATCAAGTAACRARAAAGCAACAAAAGGTGTACCGCAAGGCWCAACGTTTGGTCCTATAAAATTTGGCGATTTTTTCACGCATTTCAGAGGTAAGGAATGAGTCTTTATTGTTAAGTTGTAGGCGTTATTGTTTTTTTCCCTAATCTCATAACATTTCATTGTTTGAGCTTGTATTATTTAGATATAGTCAAAACAGTTGAATACGATGAATGTCATTGATTCCTTTAAGTTGAGATTTGAAACGATTTATTCTGCATTTAAAAGATATATCATTTCAAAGMTAAATTTACTGATTTGGTGACAGATTTCCATATGATTTTCAGTGATTTTTTTCAAGAATTTCTTTTRAGCATAACATGCTATAATAATCGATCGTTCAACCCATTTCACACTCTGCTGTGCTATATCTAAATKTACTAAGATTTTTGTAGGAATTGACAACCTTTGTTCGCTGTTTTATCGATAATGACCTGTGCATAAACAAAATGTTAGCAGAAATTTTTTATCTTTAATTTTCTTCCGTTGTCTTATTTTTCATTCAATCAATGCAATAAGTTTTAGTATAGCTTTCGATGAACATATTTCAATTTTTCGATGAGAAATTAAAGGATTTGTATTCCATACGAGATTGTGGAGTTTACAGATTGGGTGTGGCATGCACTAGTCACTGTTTACACTCAAACATGTTAATGTTAAATTTTAATTTAAAAATACAAACTTAAAGAGTGCTTTCAGCAGAGTGATCGCACTTCAACAGTGCAAATGTACAAAATCTAAGTAGTACTAATTTGTACTAAAAGTGGACCTGAAGCAAGACGTTATTGAATGCTTCATTTGTATCAATTCAATTTAATTTGTATACCGAATGCACAATTTACTAAATGCAACTAAACAGCACTACTTAGTTTGTACAGTTTCACGGTTTAAGTGCGATCACTCTAAAAGCGTGAAACAGAAATTACTAAACTGTGCAAAATAGTCGCTAGTTARACAAAACAAAATAATTAACATAGAATATCACAAAATAGTACATATCAAACAATTGCTAACATTCGCGCGGGCTACCTGTGTCTTTTGTGGGATTCCTTATTTTCAAGGATGGGAGGGGACTAGGACAAAATTATAATGGCCGACATGTTGAAAAGCGATTTCTCTGCAAATTCTGTAAGTTTTAGCCATTTTAAAGCACTAAAAGGTGGAAAAAACTTGAAAAAAACTTTCTATCGTAATTCCTTATAAGGTAAGATTACCATATATAGTCAGCAAAAGTTTGACAAACGAATGAATGTTTCTCTGAGGCAATTGTTAAATAATGTTACACACTTAAAAGCATTGTACACTTGATATGCATCATGTATTAATTATTGTATTCTGCAGAATGATTGACTGAAATGATCAACATGAAAGCAACAGCCAGCATTCTCTTGTTTGTGTGTTTTATTGTGCATCTATCTAAAGGTAAACAGCATGGATGACTGACTGATTGATTGATTTGTTGATTTAGTGGACGATCAGGGTTTGATTTGATTTGATTGATTCAGGATTGATTGCTTGATTGATTGATGTAAAGATATGAATATGAGGACCGCATGGCACTATCAGAAATGATATAGAAATGAAAAAAAGTTAGAGTGCACGTCACATAAGCATGAAACAATTCTTAATATGTATTGCTAAATAAGATTTAGTTATCAAGTAACTAAGAATTCAGCAAAGCATAGAGTGCACGTCACATAAGCATGAAACAATTCTTAATATGTATTGCTAAATAAGATTTAGTTATCAACTAACTAAGAATTCAACAAAGCATAAACACAACGCCAATTATTTAAACTCCTTTGTAGCATTGTTCTCAATTCTTAGTTAGTTGATAACTAAATCTTATTTAGCACAATATAGTTAAGAATTGTTTCATGATTATGTGACTTGCACTCTATAATGCTTAGAAGGAGGCAATTCCGGGAGAAAGACCCTTAGGAATAAATTCGGAAAATTAATTTCAGACCTCGCTGGRATTCGAACCCACGACCTTCGGATTTGTACTACCGATSTTCTACCAGCTGAGCTACAASGMCAGACTGGGAGCAGGTCGGGGTGAAATAGATGTTAGGTTGCGGYAATAKAATAATGTAAAGATATGAWTATGAGGTCGATTGATTGATTAACTGCTCATCGATTTATTGATTGATTGATTTACTGATCAGCTGAATGATTAATTTSATTGGTTTGTTTTAATCTATTCAGGAAACAACGAAGACAAACTGGAACGTTTAATCAAAGAAATAAAAGGAGAAAGCGACAAGGTGGCCAGTGAAATCTACACATGGATAGACCAACATAAAAAGGGTTTCGAAACGTTCAAAAAACCTCACGGCAAAACACGTGATAACTCGAGAACGAATCTAAAAGAGAAAAAGCACGACATAAAACATCTCGCGAAAATGTTAAAAGGTGAAAGTGATCACTTGGCTAATGAACTTTTTAGATGGATAGATAAACATACGATGGCACGTGATCAACCACGTGGTCACTCACGTGGACACGTACGAAATCAGCAAAAACTAAAGAGTAGTCAAAAGTCATCACAATTTTTAGACATCATTAATCGAGCTGTGTCACGTGGCAAGTCACGTGGGTTTTTGAGCGGGAAGCCGTCACGTCAACATACGAGGCAAAGGAGAGCCGTGACCGATAGCGGAGATGGCTTGGAGGGAGAATCTATCCAGGACGTTATGATGGATCTCATGAACGCACCRCACAAAGAAACCGCGAAACTGCGAAAACACGAAACAAAGAAAATTCCGAAAGCGAAAATGAAAATATCAAAGTCTTCAGTTGGAAAGTTAAAAAAATCCGTCAAGAAAAAGCCAAAATCAAAGAAATCGAAAAAACCGGCCAAACAAATCAAAAAAAGSAAATCTTCGAAAAGATCAAAAATTCCAAAACCAAAGGCTAATTTCGCTGTGCATCCCACAAAATCAAACAAAGTCAAAGCCACTGGCTTGCCTGATCTTCTGAAGTTGATATCCGCTGACCCTGCCAAAAAAATCCTCGTTTCCAACGTGGAGGACAACATCAAATTCGACAAGAAAAGTTTAAAAATTATCAACGATATACCAAAACCGGTATTAAAAAATCTGCTTAAGAACATTAATCTTGAGAAATATTTTCGTATGTCAAATTATTTACCAAATGTTTTGAAAGATACAGAGATGAAGACGAAGAAGAGAGGTAAGAAAGTAGCGAAGAGCAAGATAAAAAACATCACCAGTACACCAATGAAAGACTCTCAAAAAAGTGATAAAAGTAAAGAAAATAAACTTATAAAGAAGTCTATACAAAGAGGAAAAATAATTGCTACGGTTAAAACAAAGAAGACAACAAAGAAACCAGTTAAACTAAAGAAAAAAGCGAGTTCTTTAAAGAAAGGCAATTCTGAAACTTCAGCGTCAAGAAGCAAAGTCAAAAAGAAGTCTTTCCATGCAGATAAGGAATTCAAAGGTAAAACCCGCTCCAATGTTGAGCATGCGCGAAAGAAAATCTCAGCTCTAAAAGAAAAAATCAAGAAAACRAATTCCTTGAAGTTCAAAGTTGCCAARGCKCTCCTTGAACACTGCGAAACTCAAAACAAACTGAAAAAAATMTTCGACAATGTGAATGCCTCTCTCAAAGAGGCTACACGGCTTGCAAAGGCTATCGGGAAGAAGTATGGCGTTAAGAAAGCAGTTGATCGAATTTCTACGGAGCACACTGAAGAGGCGGTTGCAGAGTTCCTTGATAAGTTTTTTTAATTGTGTAAAATTCTGTACAGATATCAAGTGTAAATGTATGTATATATATGACTTTAGATATTGTTTTTATGAGCTTAAAAACGCATTTATAACTGATCCGCTTTGTCTCTCGTGAAGCATATTAGCGCAAGGCATYACGGTACATCTGTCTATAATTGTTATTTTTGTGCACCCCAAACTGTCATTGCATACAACAACGACGAATTGACATAACATTTTTTGCCACTGAATCATTTCTTCAGACAAACCATTAGAATATGTTGACAAAACCACAACTTTTTGTTTCCAACTATTTTCTGATGAAGGAAATGTTTTGAAMAATCGAGAGTCTACAACCGTGGAAATTTTAACCCGCAAAGTGTCATATATAAGTAAATCATATAAGTAGTTGACAAAGTAGATAAATATGATGGATTTTGTTTGCCACCTTTACAAAGCTGTTTAAAATGCATAGTTATTCCRTGTTTGGGAATGCAGGCATCACGCACAACAGCAATGTAAGTATGGGAGGGGARGGTAAGTCGCGCATCGATGCATCAAAAACTTGATGGTGGATGTATTAAAGAATTTGTCCTATGATTATAACACTGAAGTGAGAATCATTTGACATATGTATACAGTTTAATATATAAAATAAAATTGTACTAAAGACTAGAATATATATATATATATATATAATATATTGTAAATTGAATAAATTGAAGAAAAAGGCACACAACTTGCAACTATTATTCCTACTCTTTATTTGAACGTTTCGGCACTTCGGCCTTCTTCAGCAAACTGAGTGTTTTGCACGCGCCATTGCTACAAATAATGTATAATATATAATATATAATATATTGTATTTATTTGTTATTACAATTAATTCTCTTGACATTAAAGCTTGCTATTACTATTTCTGTTTTTCTATAATTTGAATCTAAAAATGTCAAGGTCGCTCATGAATTTTTAATAAATGGCTGGTTCATTGGCAATGCAATATGTCATAAAAAATACATTTTTATATCAAAATCTAAATTATATGTTAAAAGATATTGTAAAAACTCAAAAAATATACTAGGTTTTTCAAATGCTTGGTTTGCTCTGGCCACATTTAAAAAAGCACGATTTTTCCGATCAAAAGAGCGAGGCATGGAAATGTGGCGCGTGTTACATGACCGAAAAAAGCGGGAAACTGAGATAACCATGTTTCCTTATTTGATGTGCATATCGCGTGCAATCTTGTACACTTCTTGAAATTTGAATTTCTCGGAGGTCGAAGCTTTCCTTTTTTGCAAAAATCACGAGGGCACCTTTTAGCAWTCTTCCCAAAAGTGTTGCGTTTTCATTTCAAAACAATCCATGAAATATAAATGTAACTCAGCAAAAGAAAGTCTAATACTTTACAATTTTACCACCACAAAGTGTCAAAATGATTTGATGTTTTTTGTKCTTTTTTAAAATTGGTTTACTTTCTGCATACATTATAATTTTTATATTCGACATTTTAAGTTTAGACATTATTAAGACAGACGACTGAGTAAAACAGGTGCATTGACATYTTTATATGTTTCCTAGTATGCTTAAAACAGTTGGATGGTTGGTTGATCGTTAATCAATTTGAAAGCGTTTATAGGTTATTGCWTTTTGCACATAAAATGAGMAAAAAATCTTTTATGGTKTAGTGGCAGTAGACGCATTATAATTTTTTCAGACTTTTTCAAGGTAGGGAAATGGTAAWATATTTTAATTCTATATGTTTGCATGCTTTTATATCAACTTGATTACTTGAATTGATGCATGTTTTCATATTTCGATTTCTTCTTCTTTTGCTTGTCCTTACTTCCTTCCTTCTTTCAAGTTCTTTTTCCTTTCTTTCTTGCTTACTTTCTTCCTTCCTTGCGTTTTTCCTAAACTTATTTTCTAGTCCTATTCCCAGCGACTCTTTTACAATTTTCAAGCCTTTCTTTCTTTTTAGCTCAACAAATCCAAAGAAGTGAATTGYAAAGTAATTTCCAAGAAACACGAACTCAAAAACCGAGAAAAGTTCAGTTAATTTGCTGTCTGAAAACAAGATCATTTCAAAAATGAACAATTCCAGCTGTATGCATATGTGTAACAAGACASTGGAAGACGATTCTCGTTTGATTKTGAACTATTTTATTCTAGGTATCAACGCTGTAAGCTCTTTAGTAGCTTCTAGTTTTAACTTCCTTGTAATCTTCGCGTTTATCAAGACGCCTTCGTTACGAACTTCGTCGTTCATTCTTATTCTCAGCCTAGCTGTTTCTGATTTAGGTGTCGGAGTTATTTCTCAGCCACTCTATTGCTTAAAACTAGAAGGCATCCTACAAGAGTACCAGTCAGAAAGAGTTGATGTAATATGGGTTATATCTTGGTTATTCACAGTTACAGCCATTAATATAGATCGATATCTTGCAGTGCGACTAAGCACGAGTTATCAAACCAAAGTTACAACTAAACGATCTACTATCGCTGTAGTATGCATTTGGGTWTTYAGCGCTGCGTACTCTGCAATAATGTGGGTATTCGAGGASTTTTTCGATGCGACCGTTRAGGTCATTTTAGTTGCTTTCAGTGCAATAGGAGTTGCTATAAATGTAGTTCTTATAATACAAATATCRAAGGCAATACATAAGCTTAGAGAACAAGTCCACARCCGTCAGCAAACGGCCCAGCAAAACTTAAACCTAGATAGATACCAGAGATCAGTGAACACCATGTATTGTATCATGGTTGCCTTGGTTGTTTGCTATTTGCCGCCAGCGATTACTGCCGGAGCGATGCCCAATATTRAAAAGTCRTACGAGCGCTATGTGATTGAYTCATTTGCTACGACGCTCGTTTTTGTCAATAGCTCTATTAACCCGTTTATATACTGCTGGAGAATTCACGAAATAAGGAACTCAATTAGGAAGTTGCTGCGCTGTGGAGAATAAATTTAGAATGGAATATAATGAACAACAACTTTTTAATAATGTCGTGAATTGAAATATGATGTAAACATATTGAAATGATGTAAAATATGTGAAAAATAAAAGACAACTTACAGCAATAATAAATAAATATGAAAAATAAAACAATTTTATCTTACACATTTCATGTATTCATTCGTTTTTTTCTTTGTAAATTTAACCTTTTCTCACTAATTTTTTTCTTGATTGATTCACTTTAAAGTAAAATCTACCATAACTGTCAATCCAGCAACATAAAAGGCCATCAGAATATTCTTCATTAAGATCGATATAAAATGATTAATATTCATATGTGTGACAGAGGATGATAATTAATCTAAAAAAATTGGTATCATAAAAAAATATAGCAACACACGCAAAGAAAACTCTTTGAAGACATTTATGCTTATTTGTAATATTTTGGGAAGTCTAAAACGTTTTTTCTTCTTATTTTTCAATAATTTTTCTTATAAAATACACCTTAGTAGTCTTTAATCCATTGCTTTCTTTTCTGTCCTACTTGACTATTCAAAATTGACTATAGGAGTTTTTAACACTAACAATACAATCTAACTATAGGACTTGGTACCAGTCTACGCTCGCTCCATAACAGGTCCCTGTTACGCCAGACTAGACAATGGCCTTACAGCGTAACCTCTCTAGTCAACAATGTTTTTAAGTTTTTGACAGTNAATTCTACCAAAAGTAATAAATTCTGGTATTATTCCAGGAACGAAACCAGACTCTCAAAAAACCACGCAGCCTTTCGGTCCAAAGATACCGCTGAACTCTATCAACGAGGACTCAATACGTCCCGTAATACCATATAAGGACAGCAGCGAAAGAAATTAATCTTCAAATTGACAGCAGACCGAATAGCATGTTGGGAAAAGTAGCTTAAAAAGCTGGTTATTTGATATTTTGAGGAATTTTGTATTAGTTGTTGATGGAATTTTTTGTAGAGTAAAGGTGCATTTTTTAAATAAACATTCAATTGATTTATGTAAGTGATGTTGGTCCTTTAGAGTATTCAAGTCTTGTCAATAAGAGAAGCACGGTCAACCGAAATTCTCGTGATGATCAGACAGCCAAGAGAGCAGTGAAAAATTGAGTTTAGCCAAAGACTAAATTCAATATTTGTATTATTGAAAATTACTAAAAAACATGCTACAAAGAACAGCAGAACAAAATTTTGAAACTAATATATTTCACTAAAAAGGCATGTACAAATTAACAGAAGCTCTAGCTGAACAATTGAGGATAGAGTAGATTAATGGCGGCAACGTATTGATCTTAAATGTATTCCATAACAGCTTTTAAGCTCTGTTCATCAAAGCTTCTGTCATTTTGAAAGTATCAAGGGTATGGCGTCAAAATTAAAAACTTCGCTAATTATTAAATAAAGCTCAAGGTGAACACTGTGTTTTCTTTAAGGTTTTTCGTTTTCTAAAAAACGAAAGATTGAAAGATTATTTGATGTTGTTCCATTTTGAACGACAAACATTTTTTCATAACAATTTTTGAAGGTACTGTTTTCAGAACGTTGTTCAGATGAAGCGCCAACTTTTGCAAATTATGTTGAGAAATCATTAAACAGATACATTCTATTTCACCCAAAATCTACATTTTATGGAAATGAGATCCAGATTGTTATTCATTTTTTAAAGACAATCTTTTTTTCCATGACGTTTTTGGACGCAGTTTGAAAGTGCCTGGTCTGGTTTGGTATCACGTCGACGAAAAAAAAAAGACAAAGTTCCTAAAATTTGAATAAACCTTCAAAGCCAAAAATTACATTTTTGATGGAGATCTTTTTCAGATTGTTTAGTGTTGTTCATTTTTTTGACGGAAAATATTTTCCGCTCAGTTCACAAAGATCAATAAAAACTGCAGTTGTTTTTTGAATTACATCACTAGACTGGTGCATCGGTAATCAAATTATCTCTGAATACCAAATAATTGTCGTTATGCAGTGTTCTTACTAATTCGATTTACGTGTAGTCCTTTGTTGAAAAATTTGCTTATTTATATACAAAAACAGTTGTTTTTTCTTCGAAATACTTGCCCCAAACCATCAAATTGAAGATTCTAAATGGTGTTTTATTCATCAGTGTTTTGAATCCAAAGCGACAAGACTTAATTTTCCGTCCAACGGGTCACTGGTTTACAAACTCAAACACACACACAGGCTTACAAAGCGTCACCTTATGCTGCGCTCTGATTGGTGGAGCTAGATCGATGATCTTATCCCATCCTTCGCCTCATCTGGTCGAGTTTGTCGGGAAATCCAACATGGCGTAAAAAGAAGAAGACTTACGCAACAAAAAACAATTCAAAAAGGGGACTTATTTTTCGTATAAAGGGAGTTCTTGAGGATTGTGGAAGCTGGTTTTATAATGGGAATTTTTTAAGCTCGCAGCTAACAAGGTAAGAAGGTTGAACCGTGGCAAAAGTAATTCCAAGATCACTGAACCGAATACCCTTCCAAGTACTCCCGCGCAWTACTTGAAAAGCCAGTTCAGTGAGACGTTATAAGCCTAAGGGCTAGGCGGAGATGAAGTTAAARCTATGGTTCAAAGATTCATATAAGGGCCATGTAAAATAATATTCACGCGAAAAGAAATTTGTCAAGTCTGGCAGGTTTGTGTAAGATCACTGCATTATTTTGGCGATAACCTGCTTTTGGAATTAAAAAAAAAAAAAACTAAAAAAATAATTCTTTAGACTTGTAGGTCGCGTCGTTTTCGAGTGATTGTTTAAATTTGATWGTTAAAAAAGTAGTTCTAATAAATACACACACAACTTTGACAGTATCGTTTCATCCAGTATTTATTTTTGAATTTGCTGAAACGGTTTATATATAGTATCAGTAACTTTTAGACAATTATCAACATCAAGTCATCGATAAAACTATACATGTAGTTTAGAGCAGAAGGTAGATTTATAAAGTGATAAATGTCCTTTTGAATTTTAAAGGTTAGAACCTCCAATGTTGATATAAAGTTAGTCGACCGGTTATTATTGTGTTCAAATGTTATAACGCAGAGGCGTGAAAGAACAAGGCTTCGATAAAAAAAACAATAAACAATAAGAAAAACATAGAAAGTACATACTAGAAATCATTATTCCTTACATATTTACTCACCGCATTTTGTACCATTTCATAATTTTGTTAGCTTATGGGTTCACTCAATGAATTGACCGCTCGCCACATAGTTGGCTTCATAACCCAATTGGTAGAGGACTGCACCGGCATCGCAAAATTCATGGGTTCGATTCCCGTTGAAGCCAAAAACATTTTCCGGACAACCATTTATTAACAATCGCTTAAATTATCATGGTTTAACTGCGATGATCATCATTCCTTATAGTTATACATACAATCAAGTTTAGATTATAAATCCACGTTAAAAAGAGGGCTGTTCTGGTGTTTCGGAAGTTGGTCATCGTTTGTCCTACTAAGATATCGGTGCATTGTCAAGAGCTTCTTAAGCTCTTTAATTAACTCCGAAAAAGTACCTACGTCATGAAGTGCTCCTTCTTTTTAAGTTTTATAATTCAATTGTTGAGAACAACTTTAAATTTGTCACGAGAGATCCATAGGCATCAGTAGTGTGCATTGGTGGAAGCAAACATAAGGGTACAGTACTATAAGCCTCAGGCCTCGTAAACGACGATGTGTTTTCGTAGACTTTTCGTGTATTGCCCTCGTTACGAAACGTTACGAAGACTTTGCGAAAATATCACGAAAACGTTACGGAAAAGCATCAGCGTAAACGAGGTCTATAAGGGTTTATACGTTTCTATGGTAAAAACAATGGAAACTATAGCGGTAAACTATTATGAGCTGAGTAAGTTGCGAAATAAGAGAAGGATACGATAAGTAACACACTGATGCAGTATTGGCGTAAGTCCTTCGTCGGAGCAATAGGGTGTTGGCTGTGCATTTAACCATCAGAATTCTTCAGTACTTATTTAATTACATAGTCAGTGAGCCCAAACTGGTCGTGCAAAGCGAACCGTTTCTAAACTCAAAACCGTGTATTGCTCCCAAAAAYTGGGATCAAATTATAGCGAATAASTTCCAGTCTTGAAGCTGAATGAAAGCTTTTTAGATGTCTTTTGCTAGTTAAAATGGAATAGGACCAGTGAATGGTTGCTACCGTGKGGGCACTGRGGTGAGAAGTACGAATWTTATTGTCAAGCAGGTAGGRGCATGGCAGCATATCGTCACTCCTCGWAAATCTCCGAGAGATCAGTGATTTTAATGCGATTATTTCTGCGCTGTCCATCTAACGTTACTCGCCRAATTGTGAAATGAAGACCCATGAACCACATGTGTTTGTAAACAGTCTAAAAATATTTCTGAGCAAATCTTCGGCTAAAAMGATGAATACGAYTAAGCCGACATTTTATTCCACTCAGCGAGCATTCAACTCACAGTTTTAATATCATTATTTTACAGGCTAGAATAGCTTTTTAACTCGTAGTATACAGCTTAAATTAGTTTATATAATGTTTTGATTGAGTAGGGTGAACAATACGAGGTTCCATAATGGCGCCGGTCGTAAATCAGTATCCAGTATTAATCTTACGTAGGCTACCGTTTACACTGCAAATTTTGCACTATCGATCTATACACAGCGAAAACAAGACATTCGTTGTCAAAATAAAATCATTCATGGTTTTATTTAGGCAACTTAACTTTCAGGACCTATAAGAGCGTGTCTTATGTCTAAAAAAACAGTGCACTTTTTAGATCGATACTACATTTATCTATGCGTGCATTTGGCTTCACTAGAGTGAAAACACAAAAAGCGCATGCTCAACGTTTAAGTACTAGCTAACTTCGTATCTTATATAAGAAGAGTTGCTATGATACACAACTGCATGTCGTAGATAAAATTATCAACTTCACCATTAT